TTATTTTTATGAACTTTTTTCTGCGGTTGATGAATCTGCCATTAACAAGATTAGAACTAATTGGGAAAAGGAACTACAGTTCACCTTCTCTGATGACTGTTGGAAGGAGGCCCTGAGAGCCGTTAACTCATCCTCCAGTTGCGCTAGACTCAGCCTAATACAGTTTAAAGTTCTCCATAGACTACATTATAGCAAGGCTAAGCTCTCCAAGATTCATCCAGATAGATTAGATGACCGTTGTGATAGATGCTCCCAGGCCCCCTGCGACCTGACTCACATGTTCTGGTCATGCCCTAAATTATCTAGCTTCTGGCAATCTTTCTTCGAGTGTATTTCTGAAATTGTAGGTCTAAAAATCTCTCCATCCCCTCATGTAGCTATTTTCGGTAGGACCCCAGATGAAATCAACATTACAAACACTCAAACCAATGTCATTGCCTTTACCGCCTTGACTGCTCGTAGGAAAATCCTTCTTTTGTGGAAATCTCCTTTACCTCCCTCTTTTAAAATGTGGCTGAGTGATACTATGTCTCTTCTAAAGTTGGAAAAAATTAAGTTTACTCTCCGGGGTTCCTCGGATAAGTTTTACGCTCATTGGAGGCCACTGATCAGCTATGTAGACCGTCTTCCCCCTGATATGGTGTCGCTGTAGGGATTCTCCCTTTATTTATCAATCTATAATTCTGATATGATTACTCCCCTGTCCGCCACACATGCAGCTCGTGTGACATCCCTGAATATGTGTTAGTATGTGTACATGTATGTATGTATGTATGTATGTATGTATGTATGTATGTATGTATGTATGTATGCAGGTATGTGCATGTATATTATTGTATCTATCATTTTGTATTGTATTGATGTACTGTTGCCTCAGTGCTCCGGGAGAGGGGTGGTTGGGATGGGATGGGTTGGGATGGGATGGGATGGGTTGGGATGGGGGAAAGTGAGTAAGGGAAAGTGAGTAAGGGTTCTTTTGGGCGGGAAAAAAATGAAAATGCCTTAATTGCTGTAATGCACTGTTACACTTTTGTCTTACATGTGAATAAAAATATTTTGGAAAAAAAAAATAATGAGGACCACAGCATCCGCTATGGTGATGCTGGAGATCTAGTCTCAACCTGTTCGATACAGCTTAATCTGACTTTGCTCCCAGTCTTATTTTGCCTCCCTTGTACAAAGATGGAGGAGTCTTTCACAATACCTTCACATGTTTGACACTTAAAGACGTGAGAAGAGATTACAATCATTCTTCATTGCTGAAAGTTGCATCAGTGTAGCATATGAGCCCTCTCCCTTTTCTAGTCATAAGATCCAGTGGAATATTTCCCAGCTGCTGAGCTTGGAGGGGGATCTGCCAATTTTGCATATCCCTTTCTGACGAGTGTGTTGGTTAATCTGGCTAGACATTGCAACACTTCCAAGCTTTCATTTTGACAAAGAACATAAAGCTCCAAGTTAGTTATAGCAGGTAGCCTACTTTGGGTTGCTTGAGAATTAATTTATTGATCTACAACATTAAACACCCCAGCACCAAGAGAGGAAGGAGAATACTGTCAGACATTATATGTTGTATGTGCTCTATTTGCAACCACCAAGACAAGACAGTTTCCAAGGAAAAGGAAGAATGGGCTGGTTTAACCTATTCAGTGTGGGGATTTCCAAAAGTAAAACATGCATTGTTGTTTTTAATCTCATCCAGTCATTGATTTGCAAGTTGTGATTTAATTAATTAGAAGTATACCATTTTTTTTATTTGTATAGTGTGTTAAAATATAGCATACTACTTTACAACATGTCTTGAAGCAGGGCCTGTCAGTACTTCCTAAGACTAAAGGTGAGCAGTGATCGCCATCTTGTGGTCAAACGAAGAGGTACAAAAAGGAAGCAACCATGAATGTGTTAAAAAATATATTTTTAAAGAAGATACATTTAATGGTAACGCACAGTAACGTGTAGCGTTAAAAAAACGGAAGCGTGGATGTTACATATTTAAGGTATATAAAAAATGATTGGCAATGCAAATTTGAATTACTTATGTTGTTTTAACTTGTGTGAATCGTTTATTTGTAGGCGTAGGCTGCTGTTAACGGAAGTTGATGACGTGTCGGTGTCCTAGCAACCTGCGAAACATGTCCACCTACAACTTTTGTGTAGAAGAAACTACATATCTTCCTTAAACATGAACTAACTTTAATGTCACTGTTGGTGAAGCAAAAGTACCTGTACGGCATGACTCCTCGGTTACTTTTAACGGGAATTAATTAGCGTTGTCTGCTGGCGCGGCACTCCACCAGAGTTTCCTGACAGGAGCAAAGATGGTGACTGAAATGCTCAGTTTACCTTGTGATAGACTTCTGTCACACCGACAGCTAGCATGTTGTCACACTTATTGTGGTATACCACTGGAGGGCAAGAACATGTTAATTTACAGTAACATGGATAAAGATAACAAGGTTTGTATTTATGTACACTTTTTAAGAATTAAATTGGCTAGGTAGCTATGTTTGTTAACATGACTGCAAGTGCAAACCCCAGGATAGCTAGTTTAAAGTCCTCATGTGTAGATGTATTTGAATAGGGTATGTTTTTTAATATGAAATATTCTGTTTTTCAACATTCTGTACATATAAAACACAATCATTTTGACAATTAAACAAAAGTTGATACAATGTCGGCCTGTCTAATTAAAACATTTGCCTCACTAAGGTAAGACTAAATTATATCTGACATGGATACATATTTTATATTGCTTTTTTTAAGATGGAGAATGACAAGATTGATCTATCACAGAGCCACACATAACTTATTATACTACATTGCATATTTTAACAGAGTCTGTTCGTCCACAGCCCCTGCTGCTAACAGGCCACCATGGTGAGATCAGTGCCATGACCTTTGGGAAACTACGTGGACCTGTTCTCCTTTGTTCTGCCTCTCCTGACTATATCATTGTCTGGGATATTGAACTGTGCCACAGGAGAACACAGGAGGGTGAGGAAATATGTATCTCTTCGTAGTGCAAAACATAGTTGCTCCCCTGGCCAAAGGTGGTTTTCAGCAAGAGTTTTTATCCAGTGTTTATTTTATTCTGAACTACATGTTTTTTCTCCCAACCCTCATTATATTGCCCTACCAGTTTAGTTCCCTAATTAGTTACAAGTCAACCCTGTGACACAAATCATATGATATCATATACTGTGAGTATGATCATTTTCCTGAGTGAAACTCTTAAGAAGCCTGCCATCTAGTGAAAAATATCCAGATAGCCCACTGATGTCTACTATGGTCCTGTACGTCATTTGCTTTGCTTATAAACAGACTCATTTGTTTGCAGGTAAAGTTGCTGCTGGAACAGTTATTGGGACTTTACTGGGAGAAGTCGTCCATCTTTCATTCTGTTTCTCTGATGAACGAGTGGCTGCATGCTCAGGATCAACTTTGTATATTCTCAGCTCAAAGGTACAAAATAATGTTACTTTGAACATTTCAGTATTCCTTTGTGCACATAAATCCTCACTGAATGTTCTATTTCTCACATGGATTACAAATACTGCTCTTTCTTTTACTTCTCTATGTTATACGTTACACACTCTAAAATATGTGTCATATTGTTTATTTGCTGTAGCCATCACTCTAATCAAAATTGTTATTGTTATTTTTCACATTAGAGACATGAAGTGATTTTTACCTTTACCAACCACCTGGGACCGTTGACGTCAGCAGAGTTCTGTCCCTGGAATAAAAACATTCTTGTCACAACTTCAGAGGATCGCACTTTTAAGGTACTCCAAAAATATTTACTAATGATAGTAAGTAAGTAACATAATAAATATCCCACTTTTACATTGATTTATATCAACTGTTACACAAACTGTAATAGTTATTAATAGAAAGTGTCTCTTTGCAGGTGTTGGATTTAAAAACTGAAGCTGTTTGCTACCAGTCTTTTGTGCTTTCAGGTATGATATTAACTCTTAAAAATCTTGTAAAAGAATGTACACACCTTTATTCAATTTGTACAGTAAAGGTGGTTTTATCGCATATATTAGTGGGATCTATTTAAAATCGGGAATTGTTATTATATATCCATATAATAAATATCAAATTATAGGTGTCAAAGCTAGTCATTAAGCATTTAACTATTTATGTTTAATGGCATGCTACAGTAGTGGTAGCTGTAGAGGAGTCAGGGCCCTGCTTTATTATTAATAATATAATATTTACTACCAACCTACCCAAAGTAAATTCTTCAATTCTTAAGGCTCTCCCCTACTCAGTGTTTTCTTCTTGGAGGAGAACAGGCACCTTATCACTGGCTCAACTGATGGACAGGTGAGTGACTGAGGCACACAGTCCTTAACAGCTCACACTCACTATCTGACTCAGTCTGTGCTATCAGATGATGACATTCCACTAGCTGCGTAACAAACCT